GTATTTTCGAAATGCGCTCTATTCTCTGGAAGTGAAAAGGGGATTTGTAGTATGTGTTTTGTAGCCCTGTCAAAGGTTTTGTGTTTTGGGTAACTGTTGGGTGTTGTTATACTGTTTTTTGTTTTGTTTTTAAAGGATAGACGAAATCATTATCTTTTCCTTTAATCTTTATACACTCACAAACGATAGGCCCACTACCAAAGACAGAAGAAGAAGAAGTAGAAGAGCAATAACAACACTTACAACAAGTACACACACAGAGAGAGAGAGAGAGAGAGAGAGAGAGAGAGAGAGAGAGAGAGAGAGAGAGAGAGATGGATAGCACGAAAGGCTATCAATTTCTTCTTTCTTTTTATATCAGCCAGTATTAAATGCCTTTAGAAGCACTTGGTTTGCGCATGGACTTGGGACTTTTACAATTTGTTCAAAGAGAAGAGTCAGCCATCTTGTTATGCAGAATCTTTGTCCAGAAGCAGTAATGGCGGGGTTTGGCTCTGAAGTCGATTCTTATTCCACCACTTTTCTCTATACTTTTTTGAATAACTCCACTATTTTTCATCCAATCTTCATGGAATTTTCACAAAATGAAGAGAAGAAGTAATACTAAAATTTTGTCTGTTGAATTTTTGATATATGGAATAGATTTTTGTTGGTGGTGTCTGGGGTGTGAATTTTCACGGATTTTTCGAAAACTTGAATGCTACCTCAGGAAAAAATTAATTTAAAATGTTTTAATTCGTGTAAGAAAAAAACAACAGACACATTTTTAGATCGAATGTTTGTGAACACGCATGCAAAAAAACAATCAATTTCCATGAGCAATAAGTGCTGTACTCATTACGTAAGACATGTCAATAAAATCCAATGTGGCGGCGTATCCATGGAAACAAAACTTTTTTCTCAAATTTGATTGCGGATTTTAAGACTCCTTACTATGCTTGTTATATGTGTGAAATTTGGTACAATTCGGTCCAGTAATAAGCGAGATAGCCTTCAGGTGTAAACCCCCCCCCCCTCCCTCCTTAACAGACGTCTTAGGTGTCTTCGGAGTGAGGTAGACGTCGGAAGTCTCAGCCACTGCTATCAGCTATGAACAATGGGCTTTTTTTTCCTATTGGGGTATGTCCTCATTGGCCTCGTCAATCAAATCAAATTTAAAAAAATAAAATTGTGTCTGTATGTGACATTCTCAATGCTTTTACCAATGCCAGAACTGAGAAATGTGATCTTTTTTCTGTTTTTAATAAAAGTGTTCTCTCTTTTGTATTTCATTTCAGAATTTCAAGCCCATCTTCGACAAGGTGAGTCCATATAGATCGAACACAGATTTTTTTCGCCCCCTACTGCCGACCCAGCAGTAATGGGTTTCTGACTTCAAGTTGGGGAAGTAAATTCGGCGTGGAAAGGAACTGGCCACCCTTCCACAATAATGTGCCGACGGCCAAGGAAGTTGTCTCACTAACAAAGCAATCCTCTATGTCCTGATTGGATACGGGAAAAACTTACATCTTTTTTACTCTCTTGTAACATATCTTCTGTTCTTTGGCAGTATCTTTTCCCTCTGTCTGCCTCTGCCCTTCTTTCCATGAAACTTTCCTATTGTTACAATATTCTCTAATGCTTCTTTCCGCATTGTGTGTCCGAAGAAATTTGCCTGTCGTTTTCTTATATTCATGATCAGTTGTTTTCTTATGACTACACAAATGACTACGTTTAAAAAAAAAATAAATTAGAATGATCTAGAAGTAAGACGATAATGTTCCCCCAATGTCTCTGTCCACCCAGCATGAGATCGAGGGCGTGGCGGTGCGCGACCTGCGGCGGGAGCTGGAGGAGGAAGGTCTCCTGGAGCACATCCCGCGCCGGCGCATGGACCAGCTGTTGGAACAGGCTGACCGGGACGCTGACCGACACATTACTTACAGAGAGTTTGTTCACATGGTGGGTTAGCCTGATGTGTGGTGTGTGTGTGTTTGGTGTGTGTTTGGTGTGTGTTTTTGTGTGTGTGTTTGTGTGTGTGTTTGTGTGTGTGTGTTTGTGAGTGTGTGTGTGTGTGGTGTGTGTGTTTATGTGTGTATGTTAGTGTGTGTGCGTTTGTGTGTGTGTGGTGTGTGTGTGTGTGTGTGTGTGTGTGAGTGGGTGTGTGTGGGTGTGTGTGTGTGTATTGTGTGTGTGTTTTTGTGTTTGAGACAAACAGAGAAAGAGAGAGAATGTGAGTGTGCATGTGTATCAGTGTGTGTGTGTGTGTGTTTGTGTGTTTTGTGTGTATTTGTGTGTGTGTTTATGTGTGTGTGTTTTGTGTGTGTGTGTTTGTGTGTGTGTGTGTTTGTGTGTCTGTGTGTTTGTGTGTGTGGTGTATGTAATTGTTGTGATGTTTTGCCTTCAGTGACCAGTGTGGATGTATTTGTGTGCCTCTCATGATCGAGAGGTAACGGCGTTTGTGTTTGTGTCATCTGCAGATGACCCATGACCTTACAGCAGAGGAGAGGAAACCTTTCAGGCGGATGATGCGGGCGGCCATCGCTGACATCATCCCGCGGCGGCAGAGAGAGGACTTCCTGGCCAACTACAACTGCTGCCCACCACCTTTGTTCATTCCACTCATCAGTGTTGCCGAGGTGGGAGGCCGGAGGATGATTTCCATGTTTCTTTTAATTATTGGCTGTAAAACAGTGCTTGCCAGCCTGGGCGATGTGGCCTAATTATGGGCAATTTGGTCATTTTGGTTGGTGGGAGGGATCGCGCGTGTAGTGTCAGGTATTATTTAATATATATCCCACTTGGAAATTCATGTAGGTCGGTGAAAGTGACTAGCACTGTTGTAAATGATTGTGGCATTATAGTTTGCTGTCAGAAATAGTTGTAAAAGCTCATAGAGCTTGCTGTCGAGTGGGGATATATGCTATACAAATGCTGTTTCTCCTACTCCTCTTCTATTATTGTTATTGTTATTATCTCTTTGTGTACTTGTGTTTGGTATTCCAATCGACATGCTTTGTGGGCGGTTTGCGGGTGCTCTGGGTGTGGTTTGCTCCTTCTTTCCTATAAAAAATCAATCGTCTCTATCTCCCTTCCTTCTTTTTTTTGTGTTTGTTACTCTCTTGTAACACCTCTAATCTTCGGCACTTATATGACCTTGTTACGCTTCAAGTGCCGTAAAACACTTACTAAAACTAAAACGACATGCTTTAAACTGTTAAGGGGTCCTCCTGCTTCACCCTGCCTGTCAGAGCCGATGGGGGCTAAGTGGGTAACGCTAACAGCTTCCTAATACTAATAGAAAGATGATGGAGACAGTAGAATAGACTTCTCTCTACAGAAATTGAATCCAAGTCTTTCGGGTGTAACTGCTCCTACCTATCCAGCTCCCTTGGGCTTATGTATTGTATGCCCTGGAGCTGTCGATTAAATTTAGCCCCATAAAATAATCCTCAATTTAATAAACTTTTACAGATTAATTATAAGTCCTGTGTTCTTGGTTTGTTCAAATTAAGTTAATATTGCTTTCCCCCGGC